CTGTGGTGAATGCAGAAGCAAAGTTTATTCATTTTTCTGGTACGTAATTTGCATCGTTCTGATGAATGCAAGCTTCATTGAAAATTTATGGTTGAAAACCTGCACTATTCTGGTGCATGAAGAGGCATAGCCTGAAAATTGCACCACAAAGGTGCATGATAATACAAACTTCACTGAAAATTTTTGGTGCACCGTTCTGGTGAATGGAAGACCATGATTTATTGAAACATCTTGGCGAAAAATTTGCATCGCTCTGATAAATGAAATGAACAGAAAATTTCTGGTGGAAAACTTGCACTGATATGGAAAATGAAGGTTTCAAGCTTTATTTAAAATGAAGCTTTATTGAAAATTTCTGGTGGAAAATCTGCACCGTTCTAGTGAACGGATGGGCAAGCTTTTGGGAAAAATTTTGGTCTTAAAATTGCATCCCTCTGCTGAATAGAGAAACAAATTTTAATAATAAGTTACATGAGAGTGTAAAATTTGCACCATTCGGATGATTAGAGGGAAGCTGCTCTACTGAAAATTTATGATGAAAAATCCGAAAATAGTGGCAGCCTTTATTTGGTGGAAAACCTGCAACATTCTGATGATGGGAGGAGCCATATTTAAAATGTCTGGTAGAAAATGAAAAAAGAAAATCTGCACGAACCAGAAGATTGAAGATGCAATTTTTATTAACGGTGGAAAATTTACACCCTTCTGGTCAATTTAAATTTTCTGGTCTAAAATTACCTGGGGGTAAGTTTGTATTGAAAATTTCTGGTGTAAGATTTGCAACAATCTGCTGCATGGAGGGGCAAGCTGAGTTGAAAATTCCTGATGTAAAAATTGCACAGTTCTGGTGAATGTAGGGGCATGCTTTATTGAACATTTCTGGATGAAAAAAAAATACAACGTTTTGGTGAATGGACGGGCAACTTAAATTTTACTTCCGAGATGAACCTCAAGGGTATTGAATTCTGAGGACTGTTCCAAAAGAAACGATTTCTGGGAATGATTCCATGAATATTCTGCGAATAATTTCTAGTGAATCCTGCAGATAGTTCCAAGATAATTCCGAAAATAATACCGAGAAAATTCAATTTTGAGTGAAATTCCAAAGGGATGTTGAGGAAAATTTCAAAAAAATTCCGAAGATAATTTCAAGAACATTCTGGGAAGAATTTCTGGAGAATACAGAGGAAATTCTTCTGAAACTTTAGGAAAACTTCAGTTCCAAGGTGCTCTGAGCGAAAAAAAAAGTTCAAAATATTCCGAGAAGAACCTTAAGGATATAACATTCTTAGGACAGTTCTAAAATATTTCTGGGGAGTATTCCAAGAAAATTTTGATTATTTATTTCTAGTGAATCCTGCAGACAGTTCCAAGATAAGTTTGAAAAGAATACCGAGAAAATCAAATTTTGAGTGAAATTCCAAAGGGATTTTGAGGAAAATTACTAGTGAGTACCGATAATTTCTAGCTCATTCCGGAATAATTTCTGGATAATACTGAGGAAATTCTTCTGAAGGGAATTTCAGTTCCAAGGTGTTCTGAGTAAAAGTCAAGAAGCATTTTAAAAATAATTCCAGAGGACTTCTGAGAAGAATTTCAATAGAGCTCATAGAGTTCTAAAAATTTCGAAAAGACCCTCAAGGAATTCTGAGGATGAACTTTTTCGCAACTGTATAAAATTTAAAGACAGCTCTTGAATTCCCTAATTGAAAAGTGGGTATTAGTTTGCCATTGAACCTTGGTCTGTTGTTGTCTTACTAAGAATTCGCCTAAGAATCTTCTCTGAAAATTTCAAGTCATTTGTTACCGTGGTTAAAAAGTTACACATGTTAATGTGCGTTGCAATAAATTCGGGATTGTCCTTTGTATCATCTTTAAAAAAATTTGAATGTTCGGCAATATTTCGTGTCACCCCGACTAGCGGTACTTTGGGCAGGGTTGACATGCACAAGTCGTAATTCCGTTAACAATCATGTACTCGCTTTTGTTCCAATCGTTACATATTTTTTTAAACCTTTTTAATGATCCTCAACCTATAGTCTTGGAATTTAGGTCAAAATTAGAAAAAAATAGAGCTACAACTTTCGCTGAAAATGACCAATTTCTACGTTCTCGCAACGGTAATAATAAAGTGTAACTACAACAGCATATAAGGGCAAACAAAACCTTATAATACTCAAAAATAACTGTAACGATGCCTTCAAAATATACAAAAACGTACTGCACAAAATTTCAGAAACGTAACTGAATAAAAGATGATACCAGTACCTTGAAGAATATATTTTCTTTGGTTCATATTTTTAACCTGTAAAGAAGAGCATGACGCAAAACCTTATTACGATTCCTACAGGGTTCAGAAATTGGAAGAAAGCGACCGAGTTGCTGGGCAAACACAATCGCAGTGGTACACATGTTGGTAGTATGGAAGCGTGGAAAAATTTCAAAACCAGGAAACGTATCGACGAAGAACTGGACCACCAAAAACAGCTATGATTGCTGCTAGGTGAGGCAAAGCGGCTACAAAATCGCTATATAATGGAACGTTTCATCGATATTGTGCGCATACTTTGCAAAGGTGGCCGACCACTTTGTGGACATTCGGAAGGAGCGGAAAGTGTGCCACCCAGTTGGTGGCTAACTACGATCCATTCCATTGGCTGTCTGAAAGCAGTTTGCATTGCAGAAAAATATTAAAAAAAAAAACTAAATAAAATTAGCTAAATTGAACAGTAGGGAAACAGTGGTGGGTGGACAGCACAATCCACCACGCACTTTGGAGTACTTCCCAGCCCCAAATTGAATGCACCATTGAAAAAAATTGCCCCTCCTTAAAAAGATTCCTGTGCACGCTAGTGCCTGGAAACCATAATCATAATCTCGAAAGCTCCGAAATAACCAATAACTTTTTAAAACACCAACAATAGTTTCACAATCGATAAACTATCCTATAATTACCAACATGGTTAGGCTTTTGCAAAAGCTTTAAAGTCGTGAAAATGGCTTAAAATTAATAAAACGGCCAGACAACTCTTACAATAGTTTTGAAAGCAACTCTTGCTCAACTTTTCAGCATGAGCATGAACATGATTCAAGATCTGCAAGATCTGCTTAGGAGCGATGCATTTATTATGTTACGCTAAATTGAGGAAAAATTAAGCCCCCTCCCCTCCCACCATTTGTTACGTTTTTTCTATACACCTAATGTATTGCTTGTCACAAACTTATAAACCCCCCATCGCCTCTTAGAGCGTGACATAATATATGCATCACCCCTTAGGAAAAATCATATTTTGATAGATTTGCCAGATGCAACCTTTCTTAGCTCGTCTTCACTGAAAATCAACAATGAGCACAAAGATTCTACTATTACTTATTTACAATAGTTTCAGAAAACCAAAATTAATTAAATTTTGAATTCTGGTCCTATCTCAGCAAACGGCTGAATCTTGTCGAAACTGAGATTGTAGATTGTTCCATTGGGAGCAAACTTCCTGTAAAAAATTGTTTTTCGGAATTATGAAATCATTATTTATTATAATGATAAGTAGTAGTTGTAAGTTACAAGAAGAGGTTCTTAAGTATATGTTTGACTCATAAAATCTGTCAATATTGCTTTCAGAGCGTTACAATAAGCGATTTTACGATTCGTGAGCGCTCACGAATCATAAAATTGCTTATTGTGACGCTCTGAAAGCTAAATTGACAGGTTCTATGAGTCAAACACATACTTTACAACCTCTTCTTGTAACTTACAAGTACAACATTTCATTTTAACATCTAATGATTTCATATTTTGGGAGTCTTTATAGGGGCAAAGTCCTTTTGCGCTTCATCGCCGTCGTTTTTATTCATTATTCATCGTTTATACAGGTCTGATTAAAAAATTCATAAATAATTTATGAATAATTGTTTATATATTTTTTTAATCATACATGCGTAACATAAATGGAAAATAAATACAGCGTAACATGAATTAATCAATTTAATAAAAGGATCTTCAATATTACTATGAGATACTTACCATGCCTATGAAAGTGTTAATTTAAAATAATGGAACATTTTTGCACTATGCTGCACCAACAACACATATTACCGTTCAACAGCGCTAGAACTCATGCAGCTAAAATTATCCCTAAAACAAAACGCTATCATTGAAAATTAATCCCATTCATTCTCCTTTGTACTGAAAGCGACCACCAACTACGATCGCAACGAGTTACGTTCATTCTGGCATGTGTGCGTGTTATTCGTTATTCGCCTACAAATTTCACCATATTATTCTACCTCCACGACTCGGTCGACTCGACGCTTGACAGCTTGAATGAGCTGTCACACACGGTCCAGTTGTTCATCGATGAATGACGCGAGCTCGAACGTTTGACGACCGACTCGATGCTCAGTTCGGGTGATGGTGTGAGTGCTAGATGAGCAGTGCACCCAGTGTTGGGCTTGTCGGGCTGTATGAATTCCAAATCATCTGTCGAGAGATCAGTGAACAGCTTGAACCTTATGTAAAAAGTCTTAGTACTACTGACTTGTTGAATAATAGAAAATGTCCACTGAAATCACAAATTAAATTAATTCAGATTTATAAATTTTATGATTTTATGATTTTAGAGCATTATTATGTGTGATGTTTTTGCAATATATTTACTCAGTAAAAATAGTCGATGATCATTTCATCTAAACGGACCCTAATAAACAGGTACCGTAAACGAACAATGTCAGGTATGGAAAGGTTGAAAGTAGACAGCTCTTATGGTTATTTTCTATGCGAAGATGCACATAAATCATTCCATCAGTTGGGTGCGACTCTGTAAACAAATTAACATCGATGGTCATAATACTGTAAGCGTTAACATTTGTTTAACATCAGCATGAATTACAATTTTATATTTATTATTATTTATGTACATTCTTTTCTTCAACGAATTGGATCAAACCGCCTAGCATCACTGCCGAGTTTGACGTCGCGGCCTTGCCGTCGTCGACTCTCGCTGAGGCGAATGTTGTGAGGAGAAACGTCAGAAAAGTGAATCGTACATTGCTCCATCTCATCGCTGTAATATTGTGTTTTTTGAACGTCCAAATTTTGAGTTATTTCACAATTTAGCCCACGGATAGGCTGCTAAAGGTAATTTAATTAGCATAACTTCAATCTTCCCTGTGTGGTGCCTGTTTTAAACTTGGAAAATCTGTTCCAGTAGCCGTGTCGCGCCGGAAATCCGCGACCAAAGTGCCAAAAGGTTTCTCCTCTCCAAATCAGCGCTGTTTCTTTTTCGTAGACGAGGAGCTAGCTGGCAGGTGCTGTCATACCATCGCTGTTGCCACTAAGCTGCCTGAAGAGAAGGAAGACAACGACGACGAGGTTGCGTGTGTAAACAAAGCCGCGATAGGGAGCAATTTGGCCGCACTGTTGACCATCACCCCCAGCAGCACCGTCGTCACCATTCCCGGCCATGACGGATTCGTTCTTTGGCTTCGACACCTCACTCCCGGTGGAGGATGACGGAGGCGGAGGGATTGGCGAGGCCCTGGAAGACTCGGAAGAGGAGTACGATGCGCTCAATGATGAGACTTTTGGGCAAGCGGCTCGCGAGGGCGATTGGGAGGAGTTGCATGAGGATTTAGTTCGACTGGACCAGCGGGAAGGTGGAGATGGGGATTCCGGACCGGACTCCGACTTGGATATCAATTTCTCCGGCGTGAGGATCGATAATTTGGAGATGAACGATGACAATGAGTCGGAAGCGCGTCTACAACTGGATCCAAGCGTTTGGACGATGCAGAGCAAGCCGGAAACTCCTAGGCCGCAACCAATGGCAAATGTACCGCGACCGGTAGGACCAGGTAAGATTTTATTAGAAAAGTGGATGTTTCCGACAGAGTATTTTTGAATTTTCTATCATTTCAGGAACGATAAGCTTCCCTGGTTTTCCACCGAATTTCCCAATGCCGAATCCTTCCCAGATGCGGATATGCTCAGTGGAGGAAATCGAGCAGAATATGATCAAACAACAAGCCCAGTTGCAGCAATTTCCTATTGCGACACCCCGTCCTCCTCTCCAGCAGGACAACCTTCAGCAGCAATACCATCATCAAAATCTAGGACTTGCTCGACCTCCACCAGGATTTCCTGCTCCTCCGATGATGAGTCAACCGCCACTTACGATACCGGTGAATTTCCCTCCACCGCTGAATATGGGTCCTCCTCCACCATTGCATCTTCTGCAAACGAATATTCCCCCGCCTGGTAGTGGACCTCCAATGTTTCCGCTGAATGTGCCTCCACCGAACTTCCAGGAGCAGAATCATGCCAACTTCAACCAACGCCTGGTTCAGGAGATTCAGCAGAACCATCCCTTGTTGAACCAGCATCGTCACCATCAGCAGCAGCAGCAGCATCAACAGCATCAGAATCGCTACCAGCAGCACAACAATCGTCAAATTTACCACCAACAACAACATCAGAATCGACACCAGAATGGAAAGATCAATCGTTCCGGCGAATATGACGAGTATGCCAACCTGATGAGTGAACGTGACAAACAGTGGCTGCTGGGAATTCAATTGTCCCAATTGAATAAGGACACTCCGTATTTCAATGATTACTACTTTTGTGTGTTTCGTGACCGGAAAGAACGTCAGAAGGGTGAAAACGAACGGGAAAGTAAGGCGCACAAGGACAACACTTTCTATCACCCGTTCACGCAGCAAATGCTGCAACGCAATGGGCTGATTGGTCGCGAAAGACGAAACTCGGAAAAGAGTCAGGAGATTAAGGAAGTCCCGGCCAGGAATTACACTCCACTTCAGTTTGAAAATTCACTCGGAAAGTTGCAGTGTGGAAGTGTGACCGCTCCCAGAAAGATCATTGATCAGGATGTGGTGGCAGAGACAACGGCCAACAGTGGCACTGCGGTCAATTCCGAAGTCCTGTCTCAGCGAAAGTCCAGACAAATTTTATTGCATGTTGAAAGTCTGTACAAAATTGTTCTGAAGATGGAAGATTTGATTAACCCACTGGCAATTGAAGCGAAGCAACTGTTGAAGGAAAAAAGAGAGCGTGAGCGTCTACTAGCCTTGGAACGAGGTCAACAGGTTGACGAACAGAACAATCTCACCATCAACGGAACCGATGCATCGCAAGAAACGCAGGAAGATACGTTCGATTCAATGCTGGAAAAACTTCTACCCGGTGTAACCCCAGAGGGAGTCCTAATGACTCTCTCCGTTAGAAAGGGAAAACTTTTACTAAAACGCGTTCAAGCAGCCGTTAAGGATCATCCATTCCGTTGGAACCTATGGTGTATAATTCTGTCCTCTTTGCCTCTGCTTCCGAAGCGAGACCGTGACGATCCGGAAGGGCTCCTCAGTCCCCTATTCGCTCAACTTGAAAGCCATGTAAAATACTCAACCATGCGGGACTTACTACCTTTGCTAGACACTTTTCTAAATTCAGACAAACTGCTCCCGCTGGTCTCCAAGTGTAAATTCCTTTTGACAACCGTTTTGACACTGATCGATCGACTCGAGCACTTCCACTGCTCGCCTGCCCTCAATCTGACCCCCGAATCGACCGAAAGGTGGAAGACATTCCTCAAGGAACTGTCCAAAGCCGTCAGCAGTGTGGGAATGGGGCCGCAGAAGGTGCTGCTCAAATTGGACACCAACTGCAAGATCATACGAACGCTGCGGGATCACTTCCAACGGTATCCGGCGCTGGATCTGGAGCTGAAGTTCCTGGCGCTCATTTCCGTTGAGGACAAAAAGTAAACATTCGGACCCGCATGATAGGTATGGTATGAACCAACTAGTTTTCCCTTTTATTTTATTTCATTTGATATCGTGTAAAAATTTCAAAAGTATACCCGTTACTTATTAGAACGGAGGGCGAAAGTGTTTTGCAGATAATTGTAGCACTGAAAATAGTGATTTTCAAAGTTTAGGTAGTAAATAACCATTTTTACTGTGGAGAAAAAAAAATGTAAAATGTTAGCATGGGACATACAAGTTAATAGATCAAAACCAATTAATTTTTATAACGTTATCTCCCTATTTTGCGACTTATAAGTTTTCTTTTTTGTTTATTTTAACCCATATAATACCCTTAAAATACTGTATAAGCATATCCAATAACTATGATTAAAGTGAATTCAGAAAGGAAGCAACATCAAGCGCAAATGATTTCATCCGAAATCATTTAACAACTGGAATCGGGTTCCGTTTTGCTCATTTAAAATTCAATCCTGCTGTCTGCGGATTTAGAAATTATTTTCAATCATTGACAAGATCCAATCGCAGGCGTAGTAAAAAATAATACACCATCCTTCGAGCCGGATTTGAACCAGCGACCTATGGATTACTATTTCGAACAATGTTCGTCAACTACAGTCCACCGCTCTACCAACTGAGCTATCGAAGGTGTTGATGATGAGGGTTCTAAAAGAGAAACAAAAGCTAGCACTCCATGCAAGACCTGATACTCGCAATTGACTGAAAGAGGAGAAGGAAAAACAAAAATTTCATCGACTTTTTCCCCATCTCTTTACGCATGTGCTGCTACTTCTCTCCCTTGATTGTGGTAGTGGTACTCAACCGTTGATACATACCTACATACGTTTATACGTTCGTTGGAAGTCAGGAAGAACGCAATCAATCAGGTTGATGTGATGCCATGGCACGTGTGTTTAAGGTGTAGAGTGCGCACGTAGTGCATGTTGAAAGCGCATTTAGTAATTGAACCGACTATTGATTTAACATTCGAATTGAAAAATGAGTACGATACATTGTTTCCTTTCAAAACTTTTCGTTGAAAACTTCGTGGTGTGTGGTTGCTAAAAAATGATGAACCATCCTTCGAGCCGGATTTGAACCAGCGACCTATGGATTACTATTATCTACTACTCAAAGCTGAGTAGATTCAATCTACAGTCCACCGCTCTACCAACTGAGCTATCGAAGGTGATACTAAGAAGTGGTCTTAAAGATCAACTGGTTTTGCAGGATATGACACTGACGATTTACTTAGATTTTTTTACATTTCCAACGCAATTTACAACTAGAAAAGTTTATTCGTGTGATTATTTGTTAAGATTTGTAATGTTTCAAGTCGAACAAAGGATTATGTTCTTAGTAACATTGATCGATTATCTTCGTTGGTAACTTGGCTACAGAACCATTTCTTACAATATTTGCCTTTGCCATATTAGAGGCTACACAGCAAAAAAAAATGTAATATCGATCAATGTAATTCAAGCTGATGTATGAAATAATGATGTAATAGCAAAAAGCAGATACAATATTACATCAATGGATGTAATTTTGTTCGCAAAATCGATGTACATCGTACAACGTTATTTTACACAACCGATGGATTGACCTGGTTGCAGCAGTTTGGATGTAATATTCAACAACTTTTTTTTCTGTGTAGATAATATGTAGGTCGTATGAATAAAAGCGTTTACTTTACTTTTCCCGTAAGAAAAGCATGGGAAAGTAAAGTAAACTCTTTTTATTCATACGGCCCAATAGCTTCTTTTATCGAACTGTGTAGCTGTAGATGTCTATACATGGCCGTGGGAATGTAAAGAGAAAATCGACGAAGAGAATTTGTAAATGTTACTTAGGGCCTAATTCATTGTTCGGCTTGATTTTCTAACATATGTCGATGTCAAATTTCATAGACAGAATTTCTCTTTATCCTAAACAATCATTTTTTTAGGAAGACCTTTGGGAAAATCTTTGGGTCATTTAAAATTGTAAACTTCTTGGCCTTCCAATGAGTTAGAAATTCTAAGAATTGAAATTGAAATCTTTTTAACTTATCAGATTTATTGGCTGCTTATTAAACTTTTTTAATTGTGTGGTAACGGTAACACTGGTAGGTTAATATAAACATAGTTTTAAATTGTTTCAAGCTAATTTGAACAACTAAATACGACAGCGCTGTTGCCGCGGGTTTATCGTAGGATTCCCAGTCACCCGGTTCAACTTTCAGTGGGCTACGGTGGCCATCCGTAGCCGACTGAAATTTACCGTTACCAATATAGTACCAACTGTTGAGAGGTCATTGGTGTTACTGTTACTGGTCCATATTAATTCCACAAACGTTTCTTGCATACTGTGATTCACGAACATATAAACTACGGTCAAAATTATTACTAAATTTACGTTTGGTTCATCGTTTTCCTTAAACTTGCTGACGGTACTCTTCTACCATGGCGTTAAAATGCTGGTATGTATCGGTTCCGCAAGCTAATCGGGTGTTTACATCTGTGCGGATTTGCTAGCCAACTAGAACGAATTACTTTTACTCCTGAAATCTCATGCTGGTAGACGCTGATGCCCTGTTTACATTATGTTGGCTACTTTTTTGCACAGCGCACAGCAAATCCACACAGAAAAAACACCACGAAACGCAATGGATCCTTGACAAATAGATGTATTTTTTTTAATACAACGCTGGTACCTGTTTTTGGACTGTAACCAGTGTTGGAAAATATCAAAAAATTAAAGCTGTCTAATGAGCATGATCACTAGACTGATGCAAAATTTGACATTTTCGCTCCACAGTGCTCAAGCGGATCCAAATCGGGTCTAGATAAGCCTTCCAAGGTTTGAACTGATTTGGTAAGAAACTGACTGGGCACAAACCATTTGAAATTTTTATATGGAAATCCAAACTTTTTTTTCGTAGTCTTCTATCCTTCTTCCATAATGCACGGTTAAAAATTTCTATAGCTATTCTTATGGAAAATTTTCTCAGCTACAACTTTGCGTAATATTGTTTTTCAGCCAAACATCAAATTAAATAGTTATTAATTGTTTAAGAGATTGATAATCTTATGGCATGACAAAACAGTTGCTTTGTGGACAACACTGTATTCTGCAGTGTGTAATAGTAGCCATGATGTTTTGGCTCTATTCTACGCGCCAGAAACACCAATGTTGCCTGTTGAGCTTTTTTTTTACTTTATTAGAAAGATTTTTAGCCGTTGGCTAGTTCATCTCTACAAGCCTGTTGAGCAGTTGATTGAGCATAATCATAAGACAATAGTGACTTTAATCATTAATAACTTTTGATCCTTACATTTTATCGAAAAATGCTATCAATTCTTACAGCAGAGTAATAGGGTTAATTATTAGATAGATATGAATACAAAATTTAGTTTTCCCATAGTAATTTCCAAATAAACTTCAAATGGTTTGTGCCGAATCAGTTTCTTACTAAATTAGTTCAAATTTTGGAAGGCTAATCAGGAACCAAATTAGAACCGTTTGAATACTGTGAAGCGAAAATTTTGCATCAGTCTAGTGATCACGCTTGATTTTCGTAGACAAATATCAACAAGCAAACAACTGCGAATGATATTACAAGCGTGTAATCGTAGCTTCGATTATCAACCTAACAAAACTCTTCAGCTACAGTTCTCATCTTTGATTCTAATTTTGATCCAAATATTCCTTTGCAATCCAAAGATGATATTAATAATGCTCTTGAATTTCTTTGCCTCAGCATCAAAATGCGAGGATAAATTCGATTCAATTATAACAAACGACAATCTTCAGCTCTTGATCCGTCTGAAAAATGTCCTTAGGAGGCAATATGCAAAAACAAATTAAAAAGCGACTATCTGCCCCGAGGAACAAATTTTTTGAAAATAATGTTTCGAAATTAGATCCGAGTTCCAAACCCTTTTGGAAGCTCACAACAATTGAAAAACTACAACGGACAACCCTAAGGTGTTGTACGCAATGGTGACGTAGAACTACGTTATCTTATAAAATACATAAAAGATTTGTTAACTGCAGCAGGAGCTTGTGTTTTGTGTAGGCATAGGAATTTGAGCGGGGTTCTCTCTGTTTATACTCTTTAGTATGACGCGCTTGACACACAGCGACTCACGAAGAGCTACTGATTCCGATCAATAGCGGTGCGGCTTCTTCCTCCGTCTATGGATCCTCATGTTGGCTGCTGCTCGCTGCTTGCAGGCAGCCCTTCGTTGTGTATTGGAGAACATGACCACTCACCACGATTTAATAAACACCGTTTGGTGAGATCGGATGGAATTCAATTTTGAAATCTGTGTTAGGGAAATCGCTTTTCGCAGGCAATCGGTGATAATTTTAATTATTATAGCAACAGTTGCACATTCGTGCTACTTCAATAGTGACATTTTGAACAATGATAAACTCTCAACTTTAGCAGATGCATAGAAAATTTTTCGATCGATTTGTGATAAAATTATTGGAATTGGTCCAGGGGCAGCTGAGTTATTAACGTTCAAAATCTTTCATAATTTTGTTACATGTTCCACACTTTTCACTCTTCCTGCTAATTTAAAAAGATTTAAGTACTTCATATCTATAGACCAAACATTTGGGACGTAATTTTGATGCTTATTTTCAATTATGGCCTACGAACTTTATTTGATAACTTTGTTTTGGTTTTGGTAAAACCATTCGCGTTGACTACGACTCTGCAACTGTTCACTCCTATAGGAAACCCCCATAAGCAAATGTCGAATTTCGTGAAACATAGCGGATCGTTTCTTATCCTTCCACTCAACTGAAAAATCCCAGGCAAAATGTCAATCTTTGCGTGAAAGGAGGCGTCGACACGGTACACACGCTATTTCCAAACAACCCAAATTTGAGAAGGATCTACTCATATTCGTCAAAAGTAGGGTACGCCAAATTGAGTAAATAAAGTTTAGACTAACAAGATGACGAATGGAAAACATCTACCCGAATCCAAACGATGTTGTTCATTTGTCATCTTGTTGTTGTTTATTAATTTATTTGATAAGGCTCAAACGAATTAACTTTACAGAGCCGAGGATTTTTGGTCACTAGACAATACATCTTAAAACTATAGTCAAAAGGTACAACACAATAAACACTTTATCTTCCGCTATCCAAAAAGTCACCTCCATCAGAACTGGAGCCGCTTCCGGTGGTTTCATTGTATGGCAGATTCGCCAACGGGGGTCAGAGCGCTTCCATTGCAGCAATGGACGCAAAACGTGGTCATCACTCTCACACTCATCACGAAACGGTTGCTTTCCAAAGTCGACGACGCATCGACCGAAAGAACTTCTGATGAAAAACAATGAGGAGGACCACATAATGGTTGCTGCCGAGAAAACAGACGATTGCGTGACA